AGTAATTTTGTATTTTAAAAGACTTAAAACGATCAACTATGTCTTCTATATATAATTGCTGATGAATTAAAACTCTATTTTTCTCATATTCAAACTCCACACCCAGAAGCTTTCTTGTTTTACCTAAAATTTTCAAATCAAAATGTGAACTCAGGACTTTTAATATCCTTTTGGCCTGAACTTCACTTTTCCCAAACACAACTATATCATCAACATAAACCAACAGAATGACAAAATCTTTAAAACGATAGACACAATTACACCACTCAAACTTGATAAACCCTAGGTTACATAGTGTTCTATCCAACTCGTAGTACCATAATTGGCCACTCTGATGCAAACCATACAAGGCTCTATCTAAGCGACACACAAAAGTTTCTTTATCTCGCTCCACAAAACCCTGAGGTTGGGACATGTAAATTTCCTCTGATAAAGGAGCGTAGAGATAGGCACTTTTCACGTCACATTGTATATTTGCCCATCCAAGGTGTGCAACTAAAAGGGAGAAAAAGAGCCTTATTACTGAAAAGTTGACTACAGGAGAGTAGGTTTCATCATAGGTATCGTATTTAATTTGCCGATAACCCTGAGCCACTAAACGAGCTTTAAAACGAACAATGTTTCCAAATTCGTCACGTTTAATGTTGAAAATCCACCTGCAACCTAGTGGAGTCTTGTCTTTAGGAAGTGGAACAAGATGCCATACCTTATGCTTTCGCATGTTGGCCATTTCCTCTTCCATTGCCTCTATCCATTTAAGCTTTTCTGCAGATTTCATTGCCTGGTTATAAGTGTTTGGAATTGAAACATCTAGTCAGCTATCTCGGGTATACGACGTTGAAGGAGTACCAGTTGGGTCGATTTCACCACTATAAGTATTGCTTCCCTTGAAATCAAACAAGGTAGGATCATACTGAATATTATGTTCAGTGCAATACCTTTCTACATCATTTGGTGATCGTAGTCTTTGATTAGACCCCCTCTCAAAATAATACACATCCGTACGAGTGCCGTCTGGCCTTGGAACAGGTTTACGAAGCCAAGTTACTTGTCTCAATGTAGATTGAGTATCAGTGCCAATTGTAGAAGAAGGTACATTGGTATCGGTTCTTTCCTCTATTTCAGGAAAATAGCCAACTGGAGTGTCAGTAGATTGGAACTATACCCTTTCTTCAGATTCCAAATCAGGAAGGGTGCCCAGTGCAGCTCCACTGCCACTTTTCTGCATTCCAATCGACTCTTTAAAAGTAGCATTTAGGGTTTCTACTACCTTTTGCTCATTTTTTCAACCAAATCTTGTACCCTTTTGTTCGTACACTGTACCCAATCAATCGGCCCTTGTTGCCTTTGGATCAAGTTTAGAATTTCTTTTAGCCTTTGGAATTCCCACATAGGCAATCGTTCCAAATGCCTTAAGATGACGTACTGATGGTTTCCGCTTAGTGTATAATTCAAATGGGGTTCCTATCTTGGCCCTTATGACAGAATTCTATTAAATGAATATGCAAAATACATTACTGCATCTGACCAAAATTCGGAACTCATTCCACTATCGTGTAAGATTGCACGTACATTATTGAGAGCTGTCTGATTAAATCTCTCACAAAACTCCATTCTGTTCTGGAGTAGTAGACATCTGTAAATTCGTGCTTTACACCATTTTTTTATACAATATGACCTGAATTGATCATTATCATATTCTCGCCCATTGTCAGTCCTAAAGTATTTCAATCTAAGGTTCAAAGATCTTTCCGCACATGCTATATGCCTTTCAAATACTTCAAACAACCTGACTTTTCTCCACAATGGGGTACACTACCACATAACGAGAATATTCGTCAATAAAGGAAAATGGAAATAACGTTCACCATTCCTACCTGGAATATTAATAGGTCCCCATACATCAGAGAAAAACCCTTTCAAGCGTCTCTTTACTTGAATACCTTCTAAGGGTCTATAGGAGATTCGTCTTTGCTTATTGATTTGGCAATGTTCACAAAACAAATTAGGTGAGTGCTTTAAACACAGGAAGACCTCGAACTGAATGTCTCTTACTAGTCCTGACGAATAGTATCATAATTTATATGACCAAAACCGACCATGCCATAATTCACTATTATTATGCTGAACTGTGGATGCCTCAAATTTTACAGATTTGCCCCCTTTTTGATTATTTTCGGGAACACATGATAGTTAGTTCCTATCAACTTAGCCTTGTACAAAGTTGAATTTTCATCATCAGTAACTTTAATTTGCCCATTTTTACCATAAAATCTCGCTCCATTGATATCCACCCTAGGTCCAGATATTAAATTTCGTCTCAGTTCAGGTGAATATAACACATCTTTAAGCAAAATAACCGTATCCCCAAATTTCATTTTAACAGTATCCTTCCCATGAATTGGAAAAGTTACCCCATCGATAGCTACTAGCATATTCTCATTTTTCACAGGAGAAAAAGTATCAAACATTCACGATTTTACAAAAATGATGAGATGCAGCCGTATCAAAAATCCAACTATCATCATTTCTTCCAAATTGTTAACATTGGCTTGAACTATAAAATGGGACTGTGCATGGGAATTATTTTTACTTTTACCAACTTGGGTTTATTCTTACACTTAGAAGATGTTTTATTATACTAGATACAGCTGAGGAAAACAGAAGAAGCAGGTGAGGGTGATCTGGAAAAGTTACCTCTCATTCTACAGTATTTTTGAATATGACCTAGACGGCCACATTTATAACACTTGAGCTCTTTAATCTGCTTAAATTTGGGTTCACAGTTAGTACTTTGAACTTCTATATAGTCTTATTGGAGTTTTCTCTATCTATCTCTCTTAAATTAAGACACGTTTCCTCTGCTAGAATTTCAAGTTCAACATTTTTAAAAATGAACTTTTCATCTGGCCACCTCAAAATATTCTGAACTACTTGATCAAATTTATCTGGAAGGAACCTAAGAAACTGGAAACATATATAAATGTCTCTTACAGCCGATTAATATCAGCTAACTGTTCAGTTACGCGTTTTAATCTAGAAAAGAAACTAATACTTCATTTGGCTTAATTTTGCAATTTAAGAACTCTGAAAACAGGGACATATGTCTTGACCGATAATCTGGCTGGAAAATATTGGCAAGCGTATTCCATGCCACTACCGGGTCATCAATTTCATATCAAGTTTCTATATTCAGGGCTTACATTCATATAAATTAACGATAATGCCAATCGACTTCATTTTGATAGTCGGCAATAATTTCTTTTGTAATACCCTTAACATCATCTAAATCAGGACATTTTTCAATACCCTTAACCAAAAGCCATGCATTTTTTTTTTCATTCAAGACAAACTTCATATCTTTGGACCATGTAAAATAATTACAGGCATCAAGTTTAGCAATATTATGCATGACACTAACAGTAGCCATATTTGAATTTTAACAAAAACCGCTCCCCAATCTCTTAAGTCCTAAATTAACTTCAAACTTCAAAAGTCTTCACTAAAAATAACTCAGGAGCTGGTGGCCCATAACCAAAATGATGCTAAAGCAAAGTTTAAAGAAATTAATCATTTAGCAGTAGTAGCAATGAAAGCTCCTGAGATATGTTTGTGCAGAAAATGAGACAATAAAGGATTTTGAACTTAACCAATTATTAACAATATAATAAAGAATAAAAACACAGAAAATAAATGTAAACATATTAGAGTCTTAGGAAAAAATATAATATAACCTTCATTTATCAAATATTTTACCTGGTCTCCAAAACACGGCATTCTTACAAACGAAAAATGTCCTAAACAGTAATTATGCGGCCTAAAAATAAAGCTGGCTACCCATTCAATAAGTCCATAATCAATGGTCAAGAAAAACACCTGAAAATTTAAATGAAGTTCTTGAAAGCACCTAAAACAGGCCTAACCCCGTTTGCATAAGGAGTCGCCGCTCACGTATTTTAATTCCGTCTTCATTGAAGAAACATGGATGCTGCCCAAGGCAGTCACTCACATGGTAGCCTCTGGAACGAAAGAACATTATTCTGGAACCATCATCTCGCAAACCAGAACCAATGCACTTTAATCACCGGACTGCATGCATCCTTCTGAAGAGGCTGGAAACCGCTCACTCAAATGCCGGGAAAGCAGGAACTAGAAGGGTTGAGCCAGAGCGACGCGAGATACTTATAGCAGAAGTAGGAATGATGTCATCTCACGGCAACCAATCAGCTATCGGCACGAATCGGCCTTTCAGATGACGTAAACATCATGTTTGTTTTGCATCTCAATTAGGTTGAAACAGTCCGTTCTCAATGCAAACGTGGCAGCAAGAAAAAGAAGTGAAGTACTACTATATACATTAAAATAAGGACTAAACTAAATAAACATTTCAAGGAGGAGAGATGATGCTGTAAAAGGTTTAAAAATAAGCTATATTTTCCAACAAACCGGTATCTGTACGGCAGCAGACTCCTCCATGACAGTAGCTGAAGGGAAAAACACGAAAGTCCTGGAACCAAGTTCCTGAACGGACAACCAGCATGAGCTTCATGCGAACATCCTGGCCACCATCTTGTGGTGCGTAGTGGGTATGGCTTGGTGTATATTCTTCAGAGACATGACTCCATTTCAATAAATATAACTTTATTCACTCGCACCATAATTTTAAACATTTTTTAATCATCACAACAAAATAACATAACAGAAAACTACTAAACTAAAATTCGTACATCCTTCGCTCGAGCTAAGGGTGAAGTAGGCAAGTTCACTGCCATGCTTAGCAGTTTTTACAAACACAACATGACGTGGATTGGCTGCACACGCAGTCGAGCAACAGACTGCCACAAATTCAAAACAAAGTAAATAAAATTAATTCTGACTAAAAGTTGTTTTTTCATTCATGGTTTTAAATTGAGTTTGTGTTCTTTGGAGATGATATATTCAAAGTTTTCTTATTATATACATTATTATATTTTAAATATTTATAAAATTTCTAATTACAGAAGGCTCGGAAAGAGAAACATTGGGATCCATTTCATAAAGAGTGGCAAGCAAAGATATCTCAAGAAATACAAGTTTTGAATGCATCTTTATCTAAACTTCCTCAGGTAATTTATGTAATTTATGTTTTGGCATTTTTGTATCAATAAAAATTTGTACTCAAATTTTGTTGGTAATTAGGATAATGCGCTGAAATAAATTCACGCTTTTGGTAATACCTACCACATGGACTGCATTTATTTGTTAAAGTAATTATTTTCCATGGATATGTTGAGAGCAGTTAATTGTTTTAGTCAATCAAGTTCCAAACAAAAGTTTTAAAATTCCAAGAACTACAAGTTTTGAATGCATCTTTATCTAAACTTCCTCAGGTAATTTATGTAATTTATGTTTTGGCATTTTTTTATCAATAAAAATTTGTACTCAAATTTTGTACTCCAATAAGATTTGGGAATGAAACCCTGCTACTCCTCAAATAGCTGCTGCTTCATCCATGATGGTAAAAATGGAAGTGATTGAAAGTTTACAAAAATAGGTTAGTGAACTTAGCCTACAAGTTCCACTTTATCCAAGCAACGTCACAGTCGTTTATGTTGTCGTAAGCGATCCAAATCAAGGGATAGGAGTTACAGTGGTAACAGATCTAGTGATATTTGTTACTATAATAAAAAATTCAGTGAGAAGTCATTTAAGTGTAAAGAACCCTGCAACTACTCATCAAAATCACAGACAAATAACCCGGAAAACCAGCTCCCCATCTCTCATTGATGACGGAGGGACAAGGGGTGCAGTTGAGTCATCTTTTCATCAGCAACAAGGAATTGGCTACCGAATTTTTAATAGATACTGTGACAGAAATTTTCGTTATTCCTCCCTTACCTTCAGATTAAAAAAAACCATCTCAAATTTAGAACGCTTTGCTGCAAATGGCATGAAAATCAAAACACATGGCTAAAAATTATTCAAGCTTGATCTTGGACTCAGACGATCATTCACATGGCCTTTTGTAATTGCAGAAGTAAACAAACCGATAATAGGCATGGATTTTCTTGCAAATTTTAACTTTTTGGTAGATTCCAAAAATTGCAAGTTGATTGATGGTACTACATTGTTAACAACCACTGTAACTCCTTATTTTCAAAATAATAATAATATTCCAATTTTAAATGCCGTAAATGATCCATACAAATGTATCCTTAACGATTTTCCGCATTTGTTAAAACTGAATGTAGTTATTAATAAAGTTAAAAATCACAATATCGAACATTATATCAAAACCAGAGGTCACCAGTTTTCGCTAAAGCTAGTAGAAGACTATCAGCTGAGGAACTCAAAGGGGCTAAAAAGGAGTTTGAATTTATTCTCCAAATGCGTTTATGCAGGCCATCTAAAAAAGATACTGCATACACGTTACACATGCGTAAAATCACGAAAACACCCATGCACCCAGCCGGCTGGCCGGGATTCGAAAGTTGGACCGAACTACCAGTGTCCAGCGGTTTTGCGCGGGCTGCGCCCGCTTTATTAAGGTTTGCATCCTGAGAATATACTGCATATACGACACGCATGCGGAAAATCACGAAAACACCCCTAGAACCAGTCCGTTAACTGGTTGAGCCCACTACATCTCACTATGAAGAAATCAGTTGATTGGGGACCTTGTGGAGGTACCGAGTGTTAAACAATGCTATGATTCCTGATAGATACCCTCTCTCATTTTTAACAGATTTCAGTCCCATTTTAGCTGGAAAAAGAGTTTTCTCATCCATAGATCTCATTAGAGCATACTAACAAATTCCGGTTCGCGAAGAAGATATACCGAAAACAGCCATTCTCCCTCTCTTTGGCTTATTCGAGCTCCCATTCGTGACGTTTGGCCTACGAAATGCGGCCAAAACGTTCTAACGTTTTTTGAACAGTGTGTTGAATGAACTAGAATTCGTATTTTGCTATTTGGATGACATTCTAATAGCCTTTCATGGTGAAGAATCTCATCAACAACATATACAAGCAGTCCTCGAGAGACTAAATGAATATGGCCTGTGTATTAATGCAGCAAAGTGTAAATTCAGTCAAACAAAACTTGCATTCCTGGGATATGAAGTGTTAAGCTCAAGGACTTAAACCTCTTTTAACGAAAGTTGATGCCATCAAAAGTTTCCCAGAACCAAAGTCATTTGCTAGTTTAACCGTTTGACTGCTACGCTGCGCAAAAGTTCTGTGTTCATTTGTCTCGAAAACCGCGACGCTGCGCTAGCGAAAGATTCTGATATTCCTTTCCAAGACTCCCATTCCAAGAAAGCAGAACGTGGGAAAACACCTGCACTCAAGAACACGCAAGAAAATGCAGAAACTCCGCATGAAACCAAGACTACTAGAACCGGCAGACATGTGAAGTTCCCCAGTCACTTTAAAGACTATCTTCCATAATCGCTGTCACTAGGAAGGGGGTGTGTTGCGTTGCTTCAGTTTCGTCAAGTTTCTGATTTAGTTAAAGCGGAATGGTAACACTTCTTCTCTCCACGAAAAACAAAGTTCGGTATTCTATCATGCGATTTAACGTGCATGTAAAATGTAAATAAATATCATGAATAAGTAGAAAAGATATGAACCAAAAAATGTGTAATTATATATAACATTGTAAGGGATAAAATATTGATTCTTTTGGAGTCAGCGAAGTGTTATTTTCCTACATTTGCATACGAGGCTCTTCACAAAATTTCCGTCAATTGATGGCAGCACTTGATGTATTGATGTATTTTTTAATAGTTGGCATAAAACTGTTTAATTCTTAAATCACATTGCTCAAAAATATTCTACCTGTTTATTGTTTTCGGCACTAAATTGACTTGATTAAAGCCCCTGTCAATTGGGTAAGAAGAGGGGAAAATAAATAATGTTGGATTGGTAACAACTTCTATTTTAGGATATTTCTGTTGGATGACTTTTATGTTCCAAAACTTAGCATACCCGTATGTTCTGAATAAGACTTTGTATGGTATAGCATTTTCTCACTAAATAAATAATTATCAATTTTATTAGTATTTTTTTGTTAGCAATAGGATCTTGGTTATTTCTATCAATTGCTGGTGCGCATTCACCTATTAACTCCCAGTTGACGCCTTGATCATTGTTGATCCCCTTTATAATTTCATGAAACCCCAGGGGTCAGTACCAACCCTGTTAATTTCCCTGTTGGGAATTTCTGGCCTAGGTGGTTCCACTGCCTGGAACTTTCATGTCTGGAGTCTTTCCAATTGGACCATCTAAAAGCCGTATTAATTTTAATGAGGACCTTGCTGTCAGGATTTATATTGTCATTGTTCTATAAATGCCTGCATTTTTTTCTAGGTATGCATTAAATCCATGTTTAAAGATTAAGTAAAAATAAGAGCTTTTGCGAATAACCCATCTACTTTGTCAGCTGGAGCTGGAATGGATGACTTGATTAAGTCTGTTCTTTTTGTCATACATCTCTGAATCAGTATCAAGATATACGGTAGACTGAAAGAAGGTCTCTGTTGAATTATGGTCTAGTGGTAATTTCTAGTGCTTTTCTGATTTTAAGGCTGACTTTGTGCTTGGATTTTTGATGACTGGTTTTGTACTGTTCATTTCTTAAGCTTGGATGTTCTAAGGATCATGTAATAAAAGATGTGCTGTTTTCTTTCCTATGCTGCTTAGCAGACAGTTTGTCAGTTTCTTTTTTTTATGCTCAATAATGCATACTGGTAAGTTTCTAGACTTAAAGTGATATACTGAGTTTCAGTATTTGCATCTTCTTTGTGGATTGGGATAGTATACGCTTCTGTTGAAACAGTTGTAGTGACATCAATTTTTTTGTGTTCTTAATAGTTTTCAGATCGATGGGGCTGGGATTTGGCAAATTTGTAACCAAATCTTTTGAAAATGAAACTGATATGTGGGTGTGGGGGGTTAGGGGAATGTTCCGGTCAATTTATTTCTGTTTGTTGTTGGGTCAGTAGAAACTGCATATCTTAAGAAATGCAGAAGCATGTTTATTGATTTTTTGATAAGTTTCAACAAAATCGTAAGGTTATCTTTTGTTTGTTACAGTTTATAGGATGTATTTACGTTTGTTTTTATAAAAGTTCGAGTGTAGAATAGAATGCAGTACTTCTGGTTATCCGTGCCACTACAGAAAATTCATGAAAAAGTGTGGAAGAAGCTGTGCATTATTTCATCAAATAGTATTTATACTGCAATCCAGCTATGCATATAGTGCATGTGTGCTTGAGTACACATGAAATTGCACTTTTTAAATTCAGTGGTAATTTTTCTGATTTGTATTTCTTTTTGCACTGAGTTTGTTAGTTTTTGTGTTTATGAATCTTAGTGAGACTGTGGAATGTGCTAGCTGATAAATAGAAGAAAGTGTGCATTTCTTTATAAATATAGCATTCCACCTCACTATAAAGAAGGCAGAAGCTTACATTCTGTGAAGTTGTAGTTCTTAAAGAACTAAATGTTACGGAAATGCAGTATGAAAAATTGCAAGCAAAGTATTGCAGTATGGGTTAGTAACTGGTTTGAAGATAGTTTTATCTCATTTACAAAAGCCATTTTTTATATTTATTGTTGGCCAAAAGAATATATGTTCCTGAAATTTTGTGTAAAATGACTGGGGTTATCACCAAACCAAATTTATTGTTTAGTGTAATTACCTCAGAGAAGTATACATGCCTTCCATGGAAAAAGAAGAATGTAAAAAAGTAGCAGAAGATGCATTGTTGAAATAGATGTAAGGATGTCCAAACAAATGTTTCTCTCGAAAGTCAGCAACAAATTTATGAATGCTGTCCAATAATGGCAACAAGTTTGTGACTTTTCATTTGGAATGCAGATACTGTAAAGGCCCTTATTTTTGCGAGACCATCGTAATCACGAAAATTTAAGCCTCGCGAAATACTTTTTTTTTCCCCGCCTCAAATAATAATAAAAAATCAGAAATTTTTCTCTTACCCCAAATTTAATGATTTATTGTAGAGTTACAAGCTTTTTCTTGACAACTTTCTTATAAATATTTTTTGAATAATACACAATTATTTTTCTCTAATATAAACAATAAAATTAATAGAAGGCAGCTCATTCACTTAAAATACTATTTATACCAGCTTCTTTGATGCCATTCAAAATTATCTCAGGTTTGGCTTCAGTACTGTTAAATAACGCGCACAAGGCAAGAGGCGGGAATCGGTTTTAGTCATGATATTCACAAGAACACAGATTCGTTTTCCTCGAGAAATTGAAGCTCATTAGAATACCATTCAATAAACTCATTCTTGAGCAAATGCTTGAACTCGCCATTTAGAATTAAGTCCAAAAGTTGGAGCTTTCCTGTTCAGGAAGC